TTGGACTAAAAAAAAGCAAGATAAAAAAGATAAGCTTAAATAACCTAAAATCTGTGCAATAAACTGCCATGCGGCCTGAAATGCAATGCGGTATAAAAGCTTAATTGCGTCGCAACTCTCTCTCTCTTTTGTTTTCCCTTCTGCTTCCAGACACTTGTGTCGCTTTGTCGCAGAGTTCACTTTTCTAATTTTCGTTTTTTAAGAATATGCAATCTGCACAAAATTTGGGGTTGCATAATGTGTATTATCCAGAAATAAAATTATTTGTAGCGTCTAGGCAACGTCTTCAAGTTTTGTTTGTTTGTTTGTTTATGCATCCATCGTTCTAACCACGCAATCAAATTGTCTTCAAGTTATGATGCAGAGAACCATTTCCAATACGTTGCAACTCATTTCTACCAAGTCATCTTATTTCAATAATAACGCAGTTTTATTGCGCGCGCACGCACACACACACACACACACATATATATATATATATGTGTGTGTGTGTGTGTGTGTGTGTATAACTATTAAACTAATTAATTGGAACTCTAATATCTCTAGAAAAGTAATAGAAAACACGTTTCATAGCCAAATAATCAGAATAAAAAATATATATACTGAAATAGACGATTTAAAGGAAGAAATAATAAAGCTAATTAATGTTCATGTTGATAACCAAGTACCACCAAAATTTATTAATTTATATATTAAAAAGACAGGCATTAACTTTACTTTATAAGTTTTTGACTCTTTTTGATATGATAACATTACCTTAAACTAAGACACAATAACACGCCGAATAAATACTAATTCAGAAGTCAAACAACAAAAATCAGCGTTATACCTACAAAATTTTCACAGGACTAGTTTCGATGGTTTTACCGAACCATCATCTTCAGCTGCAAAACCGCAAATGAACAAGATAGGAAATAATGATTAGATAAGATAAGAAAGCCTGGACAAGAATAAGCAAGTGGCGCCATCTGTTGGCGAAACCAGAACTAAAACATAATTTCTCTAAAAGCCGAAGGCAAATTTGGATTGGAATTAGGATCGTTAACTAGAACAGAAAGATTTTTATGAATGTGAAATGCCTCTAGAAAATCCAGTTCTCCAATGGAAGATGTTTTTTTGAATAATTTTGGCAGCAGAAAAATTGAAAGTGTGATTTTCGGACCAACAATGTTGAGCAACAGAAGACCTCTGTGTTCCCTTTTTTCTAACATATGCCTCATGTTCTTTGACGCGAAATTTTAAGGCTCTCTTAGTTTGGCCAATGTAAATTAAACCACACTGGCAAGGAATCCTATAAATACCCCAGGAATTCATATCCGGAATGGGGTCCTTGAGTATAGAAGTTGGAATTTTATTGATGGGAGAAAAAACAACCCGAAAGTTAAATTTCTGCAAAATATGTGCAACTTTATAGCTAATTGATGGAAAGAAGGGAATGACAACAGAATTTTTATAATCTCCTAAAACAAGAGTGTGCCTTTTTGTGTGTTGAGATGAGAATTTTTTAACTGCTTGATTAATAATGTTGGGTGAAAAGCCCCTGTCAATAGCTATTACTTTTAAATAATTTAGTTCTTCATCAAGGGCTAGTTTGGAGGAGCAAACTTGAAGAGCACGGAAAACATAGGAATAAAATGAAGCTAACTTTTGTTTAGTCGGATGACATGATTTAAAGTGTGGTGGAAGGCAAACCGATGAAGGTTTACGGTAAACTGTAGTACTAAAGTTGGATGTGTTACGTGTGACCAGAATGTCGAATTCTCTTCCGTTTCTCGACATTCTGGTCACACGTAACACATCCAACTTCAGTACTACGGTTTACCATAAACCTTCATCGGTTTGCCTTCCACCACACTTTAAATCATGTCATCCGACTTAAACAAAAGTTAGCTTCATTTTATTCCTATGTTTTCCGTGCTCTTCAAGTTTGCTCCTCCAAACTAGCCCTTGATGAAGAACTAAATTATTTAAAAGCAATAGCTATTGACAGGGGCTTTCCACCCAACATTATTAATCAAGCAGTTAAAAAATTCTCATCTCAACACACAAAAAGGCACACTCTTGTTTTAGGAGATTATAAAAATTCTCTTGTCATTCCCTTCTTTCCATCAATTAGCTATGAAGTTGCACATATTTTGCAGAAATTTAATTTTCGGGTTGTTTATTCTCCCATCAATAAAATTCCGAGTTCCATACTCAAGGACCCCATTCCGGATATGAATTCCTGGGGTATTTATAGGATTCCTTGCCAGTGTGGTTTAATTTACATTGGCCAAACTAAGAGAGCCTTAAAATTTCGCGTCAAGGAACATGAGGCATATGTTAGAAAAAAGGAAACACAGAAGTCTTCTGTTGCTCAACATTATTGCTCAACATGGTCTGAAAACCACACTTTCAGTTTTTCTGCTGCCAAAATTATTCAAAAAACATCTTCCATTGGAAAACTGGATTTTCTAGAGGCATTTCACATTCATAAAAATCTTTCTGTTCTAGTTAACGATCCTAATTCCAATCCAAATTTGCCTTCGGCTTTTAGAGAAATTATGTTTTAGTTCTGGTTTCGCCAACAGATGGCGCCACTTGCTTATTCTTGTCCAGGCTTTCTTATCTTATCTAATCATTATTTCCTATCTTGTTCATTTGCGGTTTTGCAGCTGTAGATGATGGTTCGGTAAAACCATCGAAACTAGTCCTGTGAAAATTTTGTAGGTATAACGCTGATTTTTGTTGTTTGACTTCTGAATTAGTATTACCTTAAACCTTAGCTGGAGGGTAATGAAGGATATAGAAGAGTAAAGAAATTATCTTGTAAATTTTTATTGTAAATAAATTTGTAAATATGTATATTTAATCAATACTGGATTCGTTCCTTTTACTAATAAAGGGCCAAATCTTTTCAAAAGTCTCAATTATAGCCCGAACTGAGTGAAGATTTTAATCTTCTTCTAATTTTCCATACTTTAGCCAGTATTTAGTTAAGTTTTGATATACCAGTTGAAATCAAGTTCATTAAACTTTCAATATTTTCTTTCATTAAATATAACTTTTAATTAACTTCTTTAAGGAATTTTTGGGAAATTTCTGGGAATTTTTTTAGAGGTTTTTTAAGGACTTCGTTTCAAAAAATTTTGGGAAATTTTTAGACATTTTAAATTTTACTTTAAAACTTAAATTTTAAAACATTTTAGTTTTACTTAATTACTTTAATTATTCGCAATTTTCCCACACACAAAAAAAATTTCACTTAACGTTATTTGCAATATTTACACAATTTTTCAACAGAACACACATTTCACATTACAAACAGTTTACATTTATTAATTCACAATACCACTTAACTCTATTTTACTTCAAGCAACTTACATCTCTTGATTGGCTCAGCTACTTAACTCCCTAAATAATTGATCGTTAAAATTAAAATTAATTTTTTCTAGATTTATTTTTTATATATTTTAATATTAATGGTTAAAAAATTTTTAATATAACAAAGATAGCAGCTTGGCACTCAAATTTACCTACATAAGCGCCATCTATATAATTAATTTGAAGAACACACTTCTCTTTAAAACACTTTTGCAGACCCCAATGCTCATATAGTAGGTAAGTTAGAATTAAAACTTACTATTTACTTGCTTAAGTATTTTTTAAAATTTTTTATGTAGTATTTAAGTATTTTCTAAATATAAAATTATATTTTTAAGTATATATTTGTTTTTTAAAAATTGTGAATTAGTTCTTTTTGTATCTTATTGGTTTACATGGATTATGTCTAGTTCTTTTTTAGTTTCTTTTTATTGATATGCATATTCGTGTCGGGGAGGTTTCTGTAGACAAGGGTTTCTAAAATACATTGGTTTCTAGATTATTTTTCATAAAAAATTAATTTTTTTAATTAATTTTTTAAAAAAAAGTTTAATTTAATACTTGATTTTACTTGCTTGTTTCTCAAAAGACTTCATATGTATTTTACTTTTAGAACTTTAATTCTTTAATGCTAATTTCTAAGGGTACCACTTTATTAGTATTTCTTTTTGGACATTCTTCACTTTTTACTTTTGGTTTTGACTTTTACCCTTCCCTGCATGAATGACGAAACACGAATTGAATGATTGGAGAGTTAGGTTTGGAGGCAACTTCTCCATGATAAGTCTGTTTTATGCATTTTTAAAAAAATTGTTTGGATTAATTTTAATTTGCTAAATTAGTGAATTTATTTTCATGGATTGGTTTCGCACTTGATTTGCTTATGCTTCTGAATTTAAATGATATTGTAGATTAGTTCAAGAATTAAATCTTTTATATATTTGCACATTGAAAAAAAATTTTTTTTTAAATTATTTTGGCTTTAAATTTGCTTTTTCACTTTTATACGTGTTTGTTAAAATTTAAATATATATACGGCGAAGCGCGTAATGGAGTTGGCTTGGTTCGATGTTCATTTAGAAATTTCCCTTGAAAAGCCAAAATGGACCTTGAATTGAGCTAATTAACCATTTTGCGCTTTTTAATTTTTAACTTTAATGTAATTTTTGCCTTTAACTTGTTCCATCGATTAGTATTTTACTGTGTTTTATAATTTACTTTTTATTTCGCATATAGTGTAATATATTACCTCATTCAATTGATTTGTTTTTTTTTAATACTGTGTTAAAATTTCCGAAAATTTTTAGCATATAGCTTTTATTATTCGAACTTGTAAATATAATTTTTTTTTTCCTTTTTCACACTATTCATAACTACTGGATATGGTTATGTTGGAATTTTCTTGGAGCCACAGCTTTTGGTAACTTTTTGGCGAGCTTACTACAATTTATCTTCTCATTTCCTTAATATTGCAGCAAATTGCGCAAAAAAAATTTGACCAAAATTGGTCTGTTTTGTATTGTTCTCACAACTTTTCTTATAATTATATATATATATGTGTGTGTGTGTGTGTGTCGTATTTTAGGTATGGAAAAGGTTACATTTTTATAAACCTAAATAAAATTTTCTTTCTTTAGGACTGAAACTTCAGGTCCCCGTCGTTCCGTTATCAAAATGGCACTTTTGCTGGGTGTCTGCTACTCGGCCAATATCGGAGGAACGGGTACAATAACTGGAACAGGGCCTAATCTTATGCTTATAGGTTTCCTCGAAGAGTAAGTTACCTCAAGTATTTCCTATATTATAAAGCATAACCTGAGACTATAGTTAAAAATCATTTAAAAATGTAAATAAAGGAATATCTTTAATGAAGTATGATCAAGGCTAGTTAAGTCTGACTCAAACACTTCGCTTCAAGAATATGCTTTTAGTAGTATATTCTTCAAGCCGTCTTCTTTGCAGTGCGAAAACCTCTTAAGAATTTTTTGGTTGCGCTGAACATATGCATGAACTGTCTATAGCTAATAATGCGTTAGCCTTATGAGACACTCGAAGGTTTATTAACTCAAGAATCCATAGCAGAATTGTTTTGAACTTTCTTCTATGTGAACCTACTTACCTTTCTCAATATACAGGGTGTATCAGTACAGCGGGTGACAAACTTTCAGGAGAGATAGAATTCATCTAGACGGTGGAAAATCATATAGCAATGCATGGTTGGAAACGATTTCCTGGCGCACAACACAAAACGCAAAAAAGGAAGGACAAAAACAGTGAGATAAAACATGTTTCATTATGTTTAGTACAACAGAAACATACAAATAAGAGCAAAAAGAAACAACGATCGTCATTAACACGTTGAGCGCCAAGCGTATTTCTTAGACAATTCCGTTCAGGCCACGCGCGCCGCTTAAGCCCTGGTATTGTAGGGCCAGCGATTCTTATCGCAGTAGATAGTTTACGCTTGGAACGTGATTCCTATAGGCATTCATTCAACACGTTACTCGCAAAGTCTGTTTTGTAAATAGTTACATTCTATAGAAAGATATTACGAAGCAGAAAATTAGCATTACTGAAGTCCGGAAAGAATTAGCGCTATCCCTTACAAGTTGTGAAAAAGAAGATATTCCATCGAACAGAAATGCAAGAATATCTATAAACGACAGCATAAACTCCAAAGAAAACCGAGAAAAGCCTCTGAAGTGCGGAAATATTGTAAATTATGTTATGATAAAAATGCAACTGGAGCTGGCAGAGTAATGACCAGAGAAAAAGACTAAGACAGTTGTCACAATTTTTGCAATAGCTGTAATGGAGAATGGTTTTTATGCTTACCGTGTTTCAATGAAATCCATTAGTCTGTAAATCAAAATTAAGTAAATTTTAAATAATTTTTGTAATTCCATAAACAGGTAAATTGCATAGTTATTATCATGTTACACGCTGTCGCCAGCAGCGGTCGACGCGACCTAAACGGAAAGTCTAGTGCAGCCAAGATGACTGACGCGGCCTAACGAAAAGTGTAGTGCAGCCACAGTGGCTGACGCGGGCCTAAAAAAGTCTAGTATCAGCCACAGATGGCCGACGCGGTCTAAACAAAAAGTCTAGCTTCAGCCACAGATGGCTGACGCGGCCTAAACCGAAAGTCTAGTGTCAGCCACAGATGGCTGACATGGCGCTCAACGTGTTAAAGAAGGAATTCGAAATTACGACCCCGAATCGTGATGGAGGCCTCACTTCTCTGCCGCATGGAGGATCTGCATCACGAATGGAAGATCGCATCGAAGATGCATGGCGCACGGTTCCTGCATCAAGTCCAAGTCGTAATTTCGAACATCTTCAATAATGAGGATTGTTGTCTTTTTATGTTGTTTTTTCTTTGTTATTGTTGTATTCCGAATAATAAACACGTTTTCCCTGTTTTCTCACCCCGTTCGTGTCCTTTCTTTCGTAACTTATGTGTCGTCAATATCGGGCCAGGAAAGCGTTTCTAATCATGTATTCCTATGTGATTTCCCATCTTGTAGATGTATTCTATCTCTCCTGAAAGTTTGCCTCCGCTTTACTCATGCACCTGCCACTCATGTACCTATCTGCAATAAATATGCACCTCATTCTGCACTGAATTTGTCAAATTCTGCACAGTATCTGCTGTATATAAAGCATATAATTACTATGCAACTATCTACATTGCGTGTGCATTACCTACAATACCTTACAACCTGTTGTGTATCTGACTTTGCACTGTGCGTTTGTTCTATGAGCAATGTGTATATAAAAAGTACAGTGTACCTACTTTAATCCAATAAACACTGTGCATCTAATAAATATAAAATAAGCTCAGCGCATTCTATAACATAGTGTCTCCACTACAGTTATTGCCTGCACATCATATCTGTATTACTTAAACTATCTGTATTATATCTGCACTGTATCTGACATATATGCATAATGTATAAATTCATAATTCATCTATCAATATTGTATCTGCATTACCTGTATAATCTCATAGCTTCCTCACAGAAATATATAGCTTGGCAACATCACACAACATAGCATGCATGGTGCTGCGTACTTATAATTGTGTTGTATATCAATAGTATACGGCTTTAGTTTAATCTGTAAGTATAATTGTTGTTTTATATAAATTGTGCACATAATGTGTATATGTATGTGGTAGTATAGTGTTTTATTCTGTGTTTTAAGTTAGTATAATTGTGTTTGGCATAATTTTACACCATAACTGTGTT